TGGTTCACAACTCCTAAGTGCATTGCGGAGACTACATCCACTCCCTAGGTAATGAAGGATTAGGTATTTGTTACCACTAACTTTTATCAAAGTGTTTTTACAATCAACCAACTTTCAAACAAAAGCCTAGTAATAACCTATCAATTACCTTATATCAAACTGGTTGCACCGAGCCTTACACTAGCTCCAAGCTCTAAGAGATCACTCAAAAACCAAGCAAAGAATCTAGGCAGTGTGCATCTCACACTCTGATCCTATTTTGAGCCTACCCTCACTAGGGCAGCTATATGCTCCAAGCCTACAAATTTCTCAAGTCAAGCCACCCAAATGTTCAAGATCCTCTTGATCCGAGACTACCCCAATAAGGTCAATTGATCAACAAACAATACAATCAAATCAAACATGTTCTACAATGATTAATTCAAAAACCAAAATATATCAATAAAGTAAGCACCTTTATGTGCAAAATAACAACAATAAAATCCTAATCACTTCAAAAAACTCAAACATACACAAATTGATATTGCTCCAAAAATGAGTGTGTGTGCAATAATAATGAAATACCAATAAGTTCTATGAATTAACTAATAAATTGATAAAATTTTAGTTTATCTTATTTTATAGACTAAATTTACATGAATTATCAAGTCAAATATGTGAAAATTAAGGTTTATTTGTGTAAAAAACATTAACTATTGAAATACGAAGTAAATAATCGACTTTTACTTGTTTTGAAGGTGAATGATGTTAAATGAGAGCAAAATATGAAGCTTAAAGAATTGGAGATCAAGAACTTGAAGATCATGAAGATTCCAAGTGCAAATAGAAGAAATTGCAGTTCTTGAAGAGGAGGCTTAAGCTCCCATTTTGGAGATTAAGCTCCCAAGTTACTAAAAAATTTCTGTACGAGAGGGCTTAAGCTCGCTGCCAGGAAAAAAGTTCCTCTTCGAAGAGAGGGCTTAAGCGCCCAAAACGGGGCTTAAGCGCCCAAATATGGGCTTAAGCGCCCCGAATGTACCAACTTAGGCCCACTTGAATTATCCACCTAGGGCACAGATTCCTTGCCCACAAAAACACATTTTGGGGCAGAATTACATAGCTTTTGACAATTCTTAGTACTTGGAGGCAGAGGGAACACGGAGAAACACCAGTTCATGTTCGGGAGAGTCGGAGACGGATCAGAATCAAGTCTGCATTGGAATTATTGAAGAATTCACCCTTCTAATATGGGATTTGGGGGAGTTTTCTTAATTCTTTTCTTTCTTGATTTTGCTATGTCTGGCTAAATCTTTTAGTAATTAGGGTTAGATAGAACTCGATTTATTTATTATGCTTTGAATAATTCTTTACGTTAATTTTCCTTTTTATCATGAATGAAATTGTCTTTTCGTAATGCTTTATATGAGCTTGAATCTTATATATTGATCTTAGATAAATGCATGACAATAGAAATGTTGGTGCATGATCTGTATCTGACAATTTCATCGTAAGTCTTATGATTCTAGGGATAGACATAGAGTTTTGCGTAATCTTAAGATTCTTGAACTTAATGCTTACCTTTTTGGGGAATAACTGTCAGGCGGGTCCAGGGGGAAGCCAGTGGTGGGGGACCACCACCATGGGCTAAGCTACTCCAAATACACCAAGTGAGTCCGACACCATATCTCAACCCAAAATCTTAAGGCATTGGGTTCATAGGCCGTTCCACTTATATAATCTTCACTTAGCCCATTACCAACCAATGTAGGACTCATCACACTTGAATATCTCAACAATCTCCCCCTCAAGTGTGAAACCCAACATTGAAATGCTCCCCCTGAACCGAGTACCCCAAGCGCAAAGTACTCAACCTGCCTCCTAGCCAATCACCAGGCTAGCTCGTGCCCAACCTGGCTCTGATACCACTGTCAGGCGGATCCAGGGAAAAGCTCGTGGTGGGGGACACCACCAATAACCGGGGAACTAGGGTTCTTGCATGATTGTAAAGATTTAGGGTGTCAAGGGATTGAATCCTAACTAAATTAAAAGAATCGATTGAATTGATATTAAGGATGATTAATTTAAAGAAGGAACTCAAACATAATAGAGAGGTTGAGGGAAATCGAAACCCTAGCTACGTTTATTTTCTATTTAGTAAATTCAAATATTTAAATTCTTATTCTTGTTTTTAATTAGTTTTAATATTTTAAATTTCAAATCAAATCCTGTCACAAATCCAATTTCGATTGTCCAACTTAAGTCGATGTAGTGAACTAGTGATTGAATTATAGTCCTCGTGAGAACGATCTCTTATTCAAACATTATATTACTTGTATGACCGGTGCACTTGCCGTGATTCCCAACATAAATCAATGACAAATGAACACTTAAGAGAAATATCAATTTCTGGTCAAGATAATTTTTATTTTATTTTATGAATGTTCTAGCTAGAAGGATTAATGACCAAAATGTACAATGAATGAATAGTTCAAAAAATAATAATTCTCACTAAATCACTCAATTAGAGTATAAACCATTAAAAATCAAATACTTAGGCCAATAAGAAAATAATAACATTATTATTATTTAAAATGATCGACAATGATATAACAACAAGAGAAAGTTAAAGATGCAGCTGAACAACAGAGCTAGAAACCTTCCACTAATATAACATTTTATCACGGGTTAATAATTATCCATTAGTAAAACATTATATTATAACTTTAACACGGAGCTAGAAACCTTCCTTGCTAAAGTCGCCACACCATAACAAGAGAAAGTTAAAGATGTAGCTGAACAACGAGAAATTCAGAGGCAATGTGCTAACGTTTTCAGTAAATTTCACTATGTCTGCTTTAGTTCCTAACAAATAAAAATGCTATTTGTGATCCCTAAGAAATTTAAAATGGACCCATTTAATTGAAATCGTGGTCCCTCACAAATTCAAAAAAGAGCCTCATTAGTCTCTCGTAAATACTAAATTGAGTCCACTTTGAATTTCTTAGGGACCACGAATAGCCTTTTTATTTGCTAGAGACTGAAGCGGGCTTCATAAAATTTGATGAAGCGGGCATCATACAATTTGATGAGGATCGAAAATGGTATTTATTCTATAAATAATCATAAGGGATAACAATTGTTTTTCTTTTTTGGGGGGTTCTTTAATTCCAGTTGATTCAATTAAAATATCAATACGCTTCATCTCTTCTCTGTTTTTTACTGAGATTTGAATTTATGATCTCGTACAAACTAGTGAAACACGCAATATAAACAAGTTAAACATTTTTGTTTTGTTTTTTTTTCATAATTCGGCAAAATACGCAATCGAAGAACAGTCAAAATCAGGCTCAAGACTAGTATTTTGATGTGTTATAACTTGTTGTAGGTGGTGGGTTCGCAGTTATCGACAGTTAAAAATATTGGAATTGAAGCAAAAGCAGTTTGCAGAGATGTTAAGAACCTTGAGGTCACCATCCCTAAAGCTAGCTCTAAGGGTGGGAGTGCTCAAGGCCTTATAAACCTATATATCTCAACACGCCCCCTCACACAAGAGCCCATTGGGCTTGAAGAGTGGACAATGCAACAGGCCCAGCCTACCTGTGCTAAAAAACGCCACAAGAGAAAGTGGAGGGCGGCGAGGCTCTGATACCATGTTAAGAACCTTGAGGTCACCACCCAAAAGCTAGCTCTAAGGATGGGAGTGCCCAAGACCTTATAAACCTATATATCTCAACAACAGAAATTGAAATATTGTTGATGAAAGAATTCGAACAAGTCGAGAGGGAAAGGCAGGAGAGAATTTGTTGTGGTCTGAGATCACCATTTTTTAGGTGGTCCCTTAGTGTAAATGGAAAGGTAAAATTGGAAAAGAAAAAAAATAACAGGGTAAAATGGGAAAGAAAAAATTAGTGTTGCGAAAGAAAGCACCAAATTATTAGGTAGTCCAGGAGCATATTAAATATTTCCGAAAAGCAGATGTTGATGCTGAATGGTACCACGTGGGAAAGCCAAACCTCCAATGAATGCTTCAGGTGTTAGTCCTTGAATGGCTAGTAATGACAACAAATGATCTCTGCTTCTCCCTCACAATCAGCATCTCAGAGTTCATTCACACATGTCATTTGCCCCACCACCTTCAATGTTTAGGTTGGGGCCAAGAATGCCCCTGTGGCCCTACCTATGATACAACAATCAAAGTACATTCTTCAAATGCCCTAACCCCTAAGTAATGGGCAGGCTGGTTTAGGCTAATTAAAAACCAAAAAAATCACTCCCCGTTCAACCAAAAAGTACATTCTTCAAATGCCCTAAGTAATGGGCAGGGCTGGTTTAGGCTAATTATGTAAATATATATAAATTTTGGAACTTCAAAGGTGCAATTTTATTTTGTCATTTATTTGGGCAGTGAAGAGGAAATTAGGTGGATGAAGTAGAAATTGCTGTTCCATAGTTCTAGTTTCTTTCCCCTGGATCTGCACATTAGGTACTTAAAAATTTAATTGTCATCCGTGACACAATTCTTTTTTAGTCAGATGTAAATTGTTTTCTTATCCTGGCTTGTGTCCAACGTTTGTCTAAAAAGCACGAAGCTCCACAAACAAAAGAAAGGAACACAATCATTTACTAAAAGAAAATGATTGTATCAAGATCTTCCCTTCAGTTGTGACCCGAATTCAATGAGAAATTGACACATCAAATTATTATGGGAGTTTTATTATTCAAGAAATTTAAAGACCAATAGATCATGGGGCTTACACTAGACTATTTTTCTTATAAACTTACGCAATAACATAAAGACCTCAAAACTTACGCCTTAGTACTATATTACACACAATTTGTACATGGGAACAAGGAAAGGGTTCTCAAGGTCCTATAATTACAATGATTTTCAACCTATCATTTTGAGAATCACCAAGCACCAGATTCTCATTGCTCACTAAAATGACTGGAAAACAATTTGAAGTTTCCTGTTTATGTACGAAACTCCCTTCTTGGTTGGTGATCCTTTTAATCTTAATAGTCTAGGTTCCCCATTCTGGTTGTTGGATATCAGCTAAATCTTCTCTGTAAGGAATATGAGTCAACTGTAATTGACCATCATTCAAAAGTCCCTTTTCCACGTGGGTTTGCATTTCAGGGTCATTCTTTGTCTCGATAAATATCTGAACAGTGTCTTTTCTGAAGGTTAGGTAGATAACTGCGATGACATAGACTGCCATTAGAGGAAACACTATGATCCCAATGAACACATTTGCCACCTTTGGGAGACTACTATGAATGAGCCAACTCACGAAGGCAGTACTGAGGTAGTACACATTAATACCAATGATTCCAAAGCCTAGTATCCATGAGATGATAATGATCTGCATGAAAAATTGAAAATTATATATGCCACATTTTTTTTTTCAATTCTCAATGAAAAATATCTCTAATTCTGCATTAAGTTTTAATGGCTAGTGGCTAATATAAAGAGGGATAAAAATCTAAGCTTCTTTTAACCAAAATCAAAGTGGCATACGTATATATAGACGAGGTAAGAGGACAACTCACAATCAGAGAATTCTTGTGAGGTCCCATCTTGGTACTGCTGCTGCTAAACTTAAGGAGTGGAATTAAAGCGAATGGAAGCTCAAAAGAAAGTATCATCTGCAAAACAAGTTTAATTAGTGTTCATGTATAATTGAATGCATATTTAATTACGAAAAGAATGTAAAATTTTAGAATATACAAACCGATGCGATGATAATACAGCGACCAGCCCCAGAAGAACCACCAACTATGGCGACAATAAGACTAGGTGTTATGGCAATGAGCCTAGTCATCAGGTTTCTTTTCCACATTTTCATCTTTAAGTCCAAGAAACCCTACACCACCAACAAAATAACACCCCAAAACCTCTTATTTTTTTAGTTTTTAAAACAAAAACGAAAGCAAAACAAAAACAGTGTTGAATGATATTCCTGTAAAGAACCTTGAAGTCACTACCCCAAAAGCTAGCTCAAGGGGTGAAAGTGCTCAAGGCCTTATAAAGCCCATATTCGTTGCCCATCCAATTAATGTGAGACTATATATCTCAACACGCCCCCTCACGCAAGAGCCCTTTAGGCTAGAAGGGGGAAAATTGCACAGGCTCATTTTTGGTTTACCTTTTTGTGCTTTTTTATTTTTTTTTTATTTTAATTCCACTTTTTAAAGCGGGGGACAGTGAGGCTCTGATACCATGTTAAGAACCTTGATGTCACCACCTCAAAAGCTAGCTTCTGGGGTGGTGTATCCCAAGGTTCTTTACATGGTATCAGAGCCTCACCGTCCCCCGCTTTAAAAAGTGGAATTAAAATAAAAAAAAAACACAAAAAGTAAACCAAAAATGGACCTGTGCAATTTCCACGCTTCTAGCTTAAAGGGCTCTTGCGTGAGGGGACGTGTTGAGATATATAGTCCCACATTGATTGGATGAACAACTAATATGGCCTTTATAAGGCCTTGGGCACTCCCACCCCTTGAGCTAGCTTTTGGAGTGATGTATCCCAAGGTTCTTTACCATTCCCAAATAACCTGCATGATGTACTGTCCTGCATAGGTTCCAGTGATAGCAGAACTTTGTCCTGAGGCTAATAGTGCTATGGCATAAACGGTTGAGCTCGACCGTCCCAACACATTCTAAAAACAATGGACATCAAAATTTCATGTGAGATGACTTGGTGCTTAATTAGGATATTAAACTTAAATATAATGATTGGATTATAGCAACTCATATAGTCAATTAAACTAAGGACCTTGAGAAGGAAAGAAGCATTGTTAAGGGTAAGATCGTTGCACTGATCACTATTTTCTGCTGAAAGGTTGCTGGCAGAGCAAACAGTGCCCGACACAGAAACTACTGCAACATTGATTAGGAATGCCACAAACAGCGCGAACCCACTCTCTATGAGATAGAACTTACATGCATCCTGCATAATCAAATATATCAGGTCATATAATATGAGTCTATTTGTAGTTTATTAAGCAAAGCTAGTCCTATGTGTTGTCTCCTCTAAACAGTTTTCGTTTCAAATTTAAAGTTTGTCACATATAGATTTCCTTATTTTCTGAGTGCCTTACATTGATGCCACGCACGGAATTGGGTATTTTTCTAGACAACACAAGAGCAGAGTGGAGGAAAAGGTTGTGCCTGCATTTTGTCAAAAAAGAAAAAAATTTAAGTAGTGAATTTTCAAAGATACATTCTTATATAAACATAGTTTACTTGATACATTATGCCAATAAAAGGTAAACATGTTGCAAAGTAAGTTAAAGGAATAAGGTGGAAGAGTACGGCATGATAAGGGCACCCAAAAGGGCAACGGCATCGGCTGTGGCTCCACCACCGAGTTTGGGCACAAACATTCCCTTTAATACACCAGAAGCCGGTGGTTTTACGTAGCTAATTTCCCCAAAGAAACATGCAGCCATTATAAAAACTAGGATTGTTATCAGCAGTTCCAGTTTTCTTATCTGCAACGCCCAAAAGAGATATGTAAATAAATAATCTTTAATGTCGAGAGAGAAACGATTTCTAGTGAATTTTGTATTCTTGAGAGTTTAGGCATGGTGCACTTGAGTAAAATTTGAAGTGCGTGTTTGTATACTCTCTTTTTTTTAAGTTAGAAGCTACTTATAAATATAAGTTAGACCAAACAGATTTTGAGAAAAACTTTTATAATGAAAAGCTCTTTTTTTTATAACGGAGAAAAAAGCTGAAAATTAAAAATTCCTAGGAGGAGCTTTTTTTTAACTCTTATCTATTTTTCTTGAATTGCGTGCTTTTTAAAAAAAATGAAGAGCGATAAAGATAGAGGGAGATAATTTTCTTAAAATATGTGCTTTCAATTAATTTTTAAGATAAAATTTTTATGTAATTTTCAAAGAGTTTTTAAGCTCTGATTTTAAAGTTTATAAGTAAAAAATAAGAGTATGAAAACAGGCGAGTCATACAAAGAAACACCGAATGGAGATAAATGATTCAAAGAAAAATAGACAATGTTAACATATTTTAATATCTTAAATGAGATATTTTATATTGTTCATATTTCCTAATCATAACAAAAAGGTAAATTACCCCAAATCTCTGCACACCAAGAAGCACGAGAGTGCTGAAGCCAGTTATAAGAACTCCTACCCATACTGGGATATGGAAGAGTATGTTCAGGGCAAAGGCTGTGCCAATCACTGCCACAATCAAGTTTGGAGAAAATTAATGACTTTAGAGGTCTAAATAGGAATACAAAGTGCCTCTTATTGTTTAATTGAATGATCTTGATTGAAAGGGGAAAGAACAAGGCGATGATGGAACAACAATAACAAATTAGTACCTTCAGGTATGTCTGCAGCTATGACAGAAATCTCGGCTAATATCCATAAGCAATACTTGACAAATAATGGGTACTCAGCTTTACATATTTCTGAAAGGTGTTTGCCTGCAAAATTCAAATTACAATAATGACATTCTCAGAGAGAAAGTATCTAATAAACAACACTTAAATTTTATCACAACTATCCACTTGTCCATTTTGTTTTCCCTCTCTCTTAAAGGGAAAGATTACACATTATAAGTACAATATTAATTATTAGATCAAACTAATTATTGGAGGCATATTCATACACTGACCACACATGTGGTCACACATAGTTTGGTGACAGGATACCGGATGGTTTATACTAAGATTATTTATAGTAGTCCTTGCACATCTACTTCTTCAATTGAGGAGCTGCCACTTAGAGAAAAAAAACAAAATTTTTCTCTTCTCTATATAAATAAGTAAGAAAATATCAATTTTTCTTTGATTTGGATAACTGAATCATAAATGAATCTAGACCATATTAAATATTTCCGTTTATTATGAATAAACAAACAAAGTGCGTTGACCATTTCAGTTCATTGAATCACGTTATCCAAAAAAAAAGAAAAAAGTTCATTGAAGCACGCAATTACGCATGGAATGCTGTGTTAGTTTTGGATCTTACCAGTGGTAACGCCAAGATTTGCAGCCAATGACTGAATTATAAGCGCAAAAATCAATCCAATTAGTACCACCCACAGCAGCTGAATAGAGCAACAAGCCAACAACACAAATTCAATTTTAGAGCTTTATTTTACTAAAGCTAAGCTAACAAAAACTTAAATCAATACATCATTTTGGGCTGTGTGGTTTGTATTCTTAGTTTGTTTCTTAACTACTATACCTCATATCTGTGATAAGCTCCAGCTTGCAAATCAGTTTCCACTGTGAAAATAGCAACAACCAGTAAGAACACAGACAAACGCACGCACCAATTTATACATAAGAGAACCAGACAGAGGGAAAAAGATGGAGACAAGAGAGAGAGAGAGAGAGATTACAGTTTCCAGGATCAAGATAAGCCAAGGAGACGAGGAAACCAGGACCTACATATGTCAGAAACTTTCTCCATCCACTTTTCTGTGTCATTTCATCAAGTGTTATTTACACACACACATATATATACCCTTAAATAAGAGTCACTGTACTATTGAAACTAGCTCGAAAACCCATTAGCTAGCATTATATAGGTGAACCCAAAAATATATAACACTTGAGAACTTGAATGGAAAAATCTTATTAACAATCCCACAGATAGAAAGAAGGAGAAGGACCTCGTTGTTTGAGGAGCCATCGTAATCAGACGGTGTGTGAAGGTTGCTAGATGGTGTCACGTTCACTGCTACTATGCGGTTGCTACCTTCAACACTTACTTGCTGTTGCTGCTGCACAAGGCTTGCCATCACTCTTTCTCTGCCTTTAGCTTCCACTTACTCTGTGACTGTGTTGTTGGGTGCTTCCCAGTGCAATACTTAATGGCTTCCGTGCACAATGAATCAAAAATATGTGCATATATTTATAGTCGAAGACTACGACTTTTTCGCATTCAGACAAATCAGAGTTCCTTCTTCATGACACCTACTCAAGGCAATTCGGCACGTTGCTGTCTTCAATGTAAGCAAATTACGTATAGCAGGATAGAACGAAAAGACATTTTAATCTTCTTCACATTAATTTCATACTTACATTACACCAATAGTTTTATACCTCTTGACTAATTCACCCAGTAGTTCAATTAATTATTTAAGGAAGAAAAAATCAAATACTTTATTTTTAGATTATCAAGATGTAAATATTGTTGCAAATCGACAATTGCACACATATCAAAAACGAAAGAGAGAGAATATAATATAGTTTGATATGGCGATCTAACCTGGTTCATCCAATGTGAGCTACGTTCAGTCTGTTTTTACTATATTTCGTCTCACCGTCAAAATTCTAAGAGTATCCATTTATAATCCAAACCCAAACTATTAAGAAAAATGAAAATTACAGTAAGACAGAGACGCAAACCACGTTTGTCTTTTTGCTGACCCGCCAATAAGGCCCTCGTCAATCAATATGCGAAATATCAATCGGTTTTTAGACATTATTTAGATTATCATTACTACTTTTTCTAAATTGAAAATTTAAGGAAATAAATTTTGACTCATTTAATGTAATACTTTGGGGTATATTGGATTAGGATTTTAAAAGATTTTTTTTGAGATAAAAAATCTTATAGATTTTAAAGGATTGTTTAGAATTGGAGGAATTTTAAAGATTGTTTTAAAAGACTTTTTTTACAATTAAGATTTCATAAGTTGGATTTTAAAGGATTTCAATAGAATTTATAAAATTTAAAAGGACAATATGAATTTATAAGATTTTAAAAAATCATATGAATTTTTAACAAACATTCAAAACTACAAGAGTTAATAAAAAAATAGCAAATAAACGCAATGATATAAATAAAAAAATTAAAACCTAATATAAATTTTTCAATCAGTAAAACATAATACAATTTTTAACAAACATTCAAAATTATTAAGCAACAGATCTCCACATATCTAAAGTTATACTAGTCCTCCATGCATTAGTTGTTCCTGCTCTTGGGTTTGAATACAAATTTGAAAATTATTTTTTTCATTTTGTATCAGAGCTATGCATATATGATTATAATACCCAATCTTTTTATTTATTAAAATAATTATAAATTTGCATGTAGAATCTATAGTTCATGATAAAATTGTGTTTGAAATTTTTTGCAATTGATCTTGGAAATCTTGGGTTTTTTATTCTATGTGATGAAAGTTTTCTAACCATATATCATATGCATGTTTTCATTGAGTATTCTAAGAAAATTTTGAATATGAATTTTTGGGTTTTATTACATAAAAGTTTAGAAAATTTCATAAATTATTTCAATCGATACATTGAAATCTTAAATTGCTTTGGAGCTTTTGAAAAACAAGTTTTAGTTATCTATGGACACAAAAATTGTTTGAAATCATTTTCTATAGCGAAGGAATTTCGTTCATAAATATATTGTTACGAAATATAGGGTTTTTATGAAAGTTTCAATATTTCTTTAAATTCATCTTGTTTCATTAATGTAAAACGAAAATTGGTTTGAGGATTTTAGTTCCCCTGTTGTTTTTCCATTGTTTTATGTTATTTTTAATACAAAAATCATACATTTTTGTGCCAAGAAAATCGCGACCCATAACTTGAAAAATTATTTTTTAAACTTCAAAAAGCTCTAAAAAATCGGCTGTTTTTGAGATAGATTATATTAGAATCTTGTTGGTTTGTTGTTTCTATGTTATTTTGTGATGAAAATCGCTCAAAAGTCTGTTATTTTTGAGCTTTGACAAAGCTCTCATGGCGTAACCAGGTTTCAAGCGGGCCAACCCCAATAGAGAAATATCAAGAAATCCTGGTTAGGGTAAGATTGTGGGGGAGACATCATATTTATATTTCTCACTAAAAAATCTTATGAAATTCACACCAATAGAAAATCTATTAAAATTGTCAGATTTTTGAATACCAAAAGATTGTTTTTCCTTTGTTTAAAATCATGATTGACTACCAACGGATTTGGATAGACTCTAAAATAATCTTATAAAATCCTAATCGAATACCACGTGATTTTTTTTTCAATCTTTTAAAATCCTAATTGAATACTAATAGATTTTTTTTATCCAAAAATAATCCATTAAAATCTTTAAAATCTCAATCTAATACACCCGGTTAGCTTACCGATGACAATTTCAATCTGATGCTCCCTTTTATTATCTCATTCCTTAAATGTTTGTTGTTTATCAGTTTTCTGTCGGGTTTTTAACCCTTTTGCCCCTAATTAAATAATTAATAACCAATTTGCCCCTCCCCCATAACTATCCACCATCCTGCCCCCATTTAGTCGATTAAGTTGCACTTTTAATCGACTAAATGGGCTAAACTCAGAAATTATGAAACGCGAATTTTAGTCGACTAAAAAATCACCTTAATCGACTAAATTGTTTGCACTTTTAGTCGACTAAGCACATTATTTAGTCGACTAAAGATCGCGAAAAACCCTATATCCAGACCTCTCTTGGCCTCATTTTCAAAATATTCGAAATCAAAACTCCTCTATTGGTCTCTTTCTCTTGTTTGTCAGCTGGGAACCTTCCAATCACCCTTCCATTTCATCCCACCACCTCTAAGACATAGTAATTGTGAAATCATTATCATTTTCCTTTATTTTTCAATTGTTTCCCCCAAATCCGAACCCTAACCACTAAAATCTGATTCCTACCCCCAAAATTCGTGTGAAAGATGAGCTCAAGTCCAAACATGTATGTTACCATGATTTACTATGATGGAAAGCATTATGAAGGCCCCAACGGTGTTCATTTTGAAGGAAAAACGAAAATGTTGAAAATCAAACGGGGCACTACGTACAATGAGCTGAAGGGGGGATTAACCAAAAATTAGGGCTACACGGCAGCCATGGCGTTCAACGGATGATCGCCAGGGTAGAGTCTACAGTTGGTAAGGATGCTATATTCTACATTGGTAATGATATATGTGACGATGAAGACGTGGATTATGTCATAGATGCAATTGTGGACCGAAAATTTCAAAACTTTATTGAGATATATGTTGAAATAGACTGTGGTCAATCTTCATCTGCACCTGTGCATGGAAGAAGTCAAAGTCAAGAAGACAGAGTGGTCGAATTATCTGCACCTGCACCTGTCTTAAGTTAGATACCACTGAGGGAAATAGACGAGGATGAGGATGGTCATGACGAGGATATGGACAGTGAAGACGATGGTGAACCCGAGAGTGTTATTCCGTTGGGTGACACCTCAGATACGGACGTAGAGGGGAATTTTGACGCTGATACTAGTTCAGGAAACTTGAGTTCCCAGGTTATGCCACCGCTCCGTGTTGACCCTGTTAGCAGTGGTAAGATTGTAATATAAAGTTTTAATTTTGCATATATATATATATATTTGTGTTTTCTTTCGTACTGACGGATAAGTTTAAATTTGGACGTAGGGTCTGAGATTGAGCCATTTTGGAACGACAGCCCATACTATTCGTTCATTAATTGGGCTCACCCTAATGATGAGACGGAGATATTGTATGGCGACGATGACATCCACGGTGGCTGGCATTTAGGAGATCCATTATATTTGTACCAGGAGTTTCGAACTAAATCTGAAATACAACATGCTGTCAAATTATATTGTATGAAGTCTCATCGTACTGCTGTGGTGGCAAAAAGTGATGACCATAGATTTGTGTTGAAGTGTCGACACCATAATGATGGTTGTCCCTGGTACGTGCGGGCTATGTTGCCCAAGAATGGAAATAGTTGGGTTGTTAGTAAGTGGGGTAAAAAACACACCTGCCTAAACCAAGGCCTTACTCGGGACCATAGACAGCTGGATTCTGATGTAATCTGTGCAGCCATTATAAGTATGTATTACATTCATTTTTATTTATGGTTTAATTTTTCGGTATATTTATTGATTTTGTTGACTTCGAATTTTGTATAGGTATGTTAAAAGAAGATCCATCCACGAAACCAGTTCTTATTCAGGAGAGGGTACAAAGTTTGTATGTATACAACATATCTTATAGGAAGGCTTGGAAGGCTAAAATGAAGGCCATTGTGAAGTTGTTTGGGGACTGGGAAAAATCATATGCCATCTTACCTGGTTGGCTGAACTACATGACACAGATAAATCCTGGTTCTGTGTTCAAGATTGATACGGATCAGTGTTGTGATGAACGACGAGTCTACACCGCTAAGGCTGTCTTTCGCAGGGTATTTTGGACTTTTCACCAGTGCATTGAGGTAAAAGATATTTGTTCCTTCATTTGGTAAACAAGAAAACAACAATAATTACGTAAACGGTTCACAACATGATGGGAACATCAAATAGTTCATTTCATAACCATAATATTACATAAGCTACAAATGTCAAATAGGAAGACCGAAGTCAATTACATAACAACATACACTAGAAACGTAAAATAGAAACATAAACCCTAAATCTAATCCTCATCCTCCTCGGACGCCATCTCCTCGTCATCCTCATCTGACACATCAGCCCCCTGCCCTGCAACATCCTCAATCTGCTGTCCTCGTCCAAGCTCTAGACGAGCAAGCCTATCTTCAACACCCTTGAACCGTCCCTGTATATGTCTAAATCTTTCATTTCCCTTCTGCACGTGACTCTTCCTCCATTTTTTGTGTTTCAGTGCCATTTTTCCTATTTTCTTCAGCGTGGCGTTTATGCCCTTCATGACATCACGTAATGAAAATCCACCCCCAGGCTCAGCTATCTCCTGCTGGTCACCCTCATCATCATCGTCATCATCATCCTCCACCTCGGGCTCAACCATGTCTACAACTGGAGCA